GAGAAAGAACCCCGACAGGTGCACGCTATAAGCTGCATCGTCTGTCAAGGGAGAAAGGATTACCCTGCCTCTCCTAGGAAGACTCGTGCCCATGTTGTGTGAACAACTCTGCACGAGCACCTAAGGAGGCTTACCTCCTTACTAGCCCGTGGTGGCGCGTACGTATCTCTAGTGAGATGTAAGAAGGGATTGACAACCTGAAATCCCTTTACGACCGTGCCGGGAAGACTTTCTCCAGCGGTTCTTTTGCGGCACAGGATGTGTCGCGTCGTACTGCTCAACCAGACCCAGTACGTCAATCATCAGTTGGGAGCGGGGCTCCCAAGTATCCCAGGACGGGGATAACCGCGCCACCGGACAAGGTAACTCGTCCGACGTCCGTTCACATCGCAGTAGTTCAACAGCTGCTCAACCAGATAGCGCTGGTCACCGCGAGAGTCCTCCAATGGAGGTGGAGGAGGAGGGAAAACGCTCTCCAAACTATCGTGGGGGAGCGTGTGTCCCCGAGAGCCTCTTTGATCGCGTAACTCTTGCGTTACGCGGCGACCTCGAGCATGAGCGGGACAGGCGTCTTCAACTGGCAGACACTGTCTTGAAGCATCGAGCTGAGTTTGCATTTGCTCAGCTTGAGAACGAGAGAGCTCTGACATCTCTTAGTGACGAGCTAAGGGTAGCTCGTGTGGATATCGACCGGTCTCGGGCTGAGATAACTGCTCTTCAGACCCTTGTCGATGCCCACCATCGGGGAGCACAAGGCTCTCTGCGAGATGCTTGAGCGCAAGGGCGTTCTTCATCGGAAGAAGCAGCGTTCTGATGGTACGGCTTAAGCCGACCAACGTAAAACGTGGGATGCGTTCGCATCTTACGTGGCAACTCGATCGTGTATGCATTGCCAAGGCGATGCAATACACGAAATGGGCCGATGTACTTGGGTAGTAGTTTACTGCTACCCAAGTTAGTCACTACATTCTTTGGTAGATTAACCGTAGACAGTAGGACTAAGTCACCTTTATTTAATAAAAGAGTGTTTGCCCTTCCATTCTTGTCTGCGTTTTTGCTTTTGCTTATCCACCGCTCCGGCGATGGAGTCTTGCACAAAACGGACTACCGTTTCACGAGCCGGTATGAAATCATCTGATGACTCGTTAGCTTCATTGCGCTGTGAGTGCACTGCAGCAACATCAATCTTTTCTTCAGTGAGGGCTTCCTCGCTCTCACTGGCATAATCTTCTCTCCGATATCGATGTTATCGATATCGGCATCAAACGCAATGACCTCTTCGTCAGAGCGTGATGAGCGTGAACCAAATCGGTTTTTGCTCGCGCGAGTCTCCCCCCTCTTAAACCAGAGTTACACTCTAGTAAGGTGGGTACACGCGGATGGCGTAAGCCGTTCACGTAAAACGGTGTATGTGTCGTGGACGCATGCACCGAGTTGTTGATGGCAAACTCTACCATCGGCAAGATCTCACTCCAACTCTTAAAGGAGTGTACGGATACTCGAAGTATCTCTTCGAGGACACGATTGGCACGTTCCGTCTGACCATCTGACTCTGGATGATCAGATGTCGACATCTTCAAGCGCGTTCCGAGTGATTTGAACACGGAACGCCAGAAATCAGCAGTGAATCGTGGATCTCTGTCTGAGACGAGTTCACGGGGCAACCCATAAAGTCGGAAGATGGTGTCAATAAAGACACAAGCACAGCCACTTGACGTGATTGACTCTGGTACAGCCACAATGTGTACCATTTTGCTGAATCTGTCAACAAATACGAGAATACCCGTATTCTTGCGTGCGTCTTTGGGTAATCCGAAGACAAAATCCATTGAGATGGATTCCCAGCACTCTGCCGGAACTGGTAGAAGCTTTAAAGGTGCACGCAGTGAAGGACTTGACTTCACTCGTTGGCAGACTTCGCATGCGCGAACATACTTTCGAGCAAACTGATACTGGCGGGGCCAGTAAAAGTCTCGACTCACCGTGAGATATGTTTTCTACCGGCCACGATGTCCTCCTATAGGAGCATCGTGATACTGGAACATGATCCGCAAACGCAGATCAGTATCATCTGGAATGACAACACGTGGTGTGTCACCAGAAACGGCTGTATAATACAGTAACCCGTTGCGAGTAGTGTATCGATCTGATGCAGATCGATACGCAGGCGACAATCGTTTCAACGATTCTCGAGATGGATGTGAGAGATGTGTCAACAACTTCACAATCTCACCATCTTGGGCGTACGCCCGCCTCACATCATCATACAACGTTATAGATGGGACTGAGGACGTCATAACCGCAACAGTGGCTGTCTCACTGTTGGGTTTCACGACTGGTTCAAAGTCGGGACGACGTGAGAGTGGCATCAGCGACGACATTAAGTCGTCCTGGTTTGTACTCGAACGTAAAGTTGTATTCTGCAAAGAATGACAACCACCGCGCCATTCGTTGTGAAAGGTGCGGGTTGTTCACTGCCGTGCGTAATGACGCATGGTCAGTGTAAACAACGAAGGGTCTATCTCCTAATAGATAGACTCTGAACTTCGCGAGTGCATACTTAATGGCAAGAAGTTCCTTGGCATGCACTGGATAGTTCCGCTCAGCTGGTTGCAGCTGACGCGACTGATAGCAGAAGACGCGTTCTACGACTCCTAGGTCGTGCTGCATTATTGCACAGCCGATTGCGAAATCGCTGGCATCACAGACCACATGAAATGGCCTGTCCTGATCGGCTATTGCTAGGACTGGGGATTGTATCAAGCTCTGCTTGATACCATCAAAGGAGCGCTGACATTCAGCGTTCCATAACCACCTCTCATTCTTTTTCAACAAACGAGAGAGGTGCACAGTCATCTCGGCGTAATTGCGTGAATACTTATGCAAATACGCCGCTAGCCCAAGTAATTTTCGAAGACCTTTGACATCAACCGGCACAGGCCAGTCGGTGATCTCCTTGATCTTTTCGGGATCAGGACGTACACCGTTCTTACCAACGATGCACCCTAGAAGTGGTATTTCGCTTGCTGCAAATACACATTTCTTGAGATTTGCATACAATTGATGCTTTCGCATGATTGTAAGAGCTTGTCGGACGTGGTACCTGTTAATCTCAACGTCCGACTTTCCATCCATAGCCCGACTATGAATGAGTACGTCATCAAAATAACTCGGTGCGTATTCTCGCACTGGTCTCAACAGATGTGATACACATCTGTTGAACGTGGCAGTGGCATCACTAAGCCCTTGTGGACTTACTAGCCATTCCCAGAGCATGCCGCTAGGCGTGCTAACTGCGGTATAGGGTATGTCCCGTTCTCGCATAAGGATTTGATAGAAGCCATCCATCAAATCCATGGACGAAAAGATGGTACTCTTTGACATACCATCAATGATTACGTCCTTCCTTGATATCGGCGTCTGAGCCGGTACCGTTGCAGCATTCAACTTGTTAAATGCATGCACAATCCGCCACCCTCCTGTTGCTTTTAGCACACAGAAGGTCGGAGAGCTATGTGGGGAAGTGGATTCCCTCACATGGCCCGCAGCTAAACGATCGGCAAAGAACTTGTCGATCACAAGTACTTGTTCACGAGGCAGTGGCCACTGCTTCATGACACAGTACTTCGAGCCTGGTTTAAGCTCGACCTCGTGTCGAGTACCTTTATCCTTCGGTAACTCGCACGGAACAGTTTCAGGGAATACATCCTTGAATTCAACCAAATCTTCATAGCGAGGATTTGTCTTGAGCGATTCCCACGATTGGGAGTCATATCGCTCAATTCGTGTCTTTTCATCTAGGACACTCTCGTCCATAGATGAACTACTGAGAACTCTCTCGTTCTCAGTAAACACTGCTGCTAACCTTATGTCGGCTACACACTCATCGTCAGCGACGAGTACGCAGATCTGCTTGACTTTGCCACTACGCAGATCACGCAAGAACCTTTCATGTTCGAGCGTTGGCAACTGCGTGATGTCCGAAGTCAACTTCGGAGGCGCAATCAGATCAAGTGTATAAGTGCCAACGCTTGATCTGTTATTGACTATGACATTAAATTTCTCTGTCATTTCCTGGGGACTTATTCCTTCGGCTTCCCGGGGACTTATTCCCTCGGCTTTCGGGGAACTTATTTCCGTCGTATCTGTAATATCGGGACTTATTCCCTTAACTTCCTCTAGCTGAGGTTGCGCAACCACAGCGAGATCCTCTACGAAAGACTCTCCAGTCGATCGAGGATTATAGTTTCGCTTAACCTGAGCAATCGATTGTTTCTCTTCTAGATGTTCCCCGCTAGGGATACATCTTTGTCCCGGCCCACTCGACTTATTCGAGTGGTGGACCTTCGGCGCAGCCTGTGTTTCCTCACAGCCGCCGGAACTTTGCTCCGAAGTGTAACCGTTTGTTACACTAAGGTTTCGTGCAGTCGTAATAACGACCGTACCACAAGTGAGGCCATCGCACTCACTCGTAGTACATCCACACGCTTGTGGACGCTCCAAAACGTTCATCAGATGGCCATCTGGTGAACAAGCGGCAGGCATCGTTAATGTTCGATATTGCCAGTTTACTCGTGGTTCGTACCTTCTGAGCCACGGTATTCCAAGGATGACATCGTATTTGTCATCCAAATCCAATACGATAAAGTCATCGTCATATTGGGTATCTTCTAGCGTATAGTGGATCTTCACTATACGCTTCATGACGGTTACGGATGCGCCTGTCGCAAGACGTACCGTCATCCTCGTAGGAGGTATGTCACATTCACTAAACTTAAATTGACCATCTTCTAGCGATTGGCGTTGCACAAAATTGTTGGACGCCCCACAATCGACTAGAGCTCGAAGGGACGACTTATTCGTCACTTCGAGTTTCAAGGTAATGAGTGAGATCTCATTACCTAGAGCAGCAACGCACAACGTTTGTGTGTTGGGAGCAACCTTCATCAAGAGGCCCACAAATTCTCTTGACGTTGCTAGACCTGTAGGGTGCTTCGCACCTACTGATCCTGTCCGTTTTTTGACGGTCCATCCCGTTGTTGCATCTTTGCACCAACAGCGGACCCGCGTCCCTGCCCCTTTCTCATGAGTGGACGGTCACTACGCCCAGTGTTGCGAGACACTGGACGAGGGACACTACACTCGTAAGCGTAGTGTCCTGTCTTCTGACATCTCTTGCATCTCTGCAACTTCTTGTAGTCTGTAGAGCGAGCCTTCTCGCTCTTTACATAACCGAGTTCCATCGGCTCTGGACCTCCGCTGTCATATCGTCTCGGTGGAAGATATGATGTCGAGCTGGCGCGAGCCTGTCTCAGACTGAAGTCTTCCTGTTCCGCAATGGAAATGGCTTGTTCTAGTGAATCTAGTTCGAGTCGGAACAGGTGAGTCTTGATGGGACCATCCGCAAGACCCTGCATGAACACCGAAACCAACGTGTGTTCATCCACCGGATTGGAACTTATACAACTCGTAAGATGTCGTATATGTTTCGCGTAAGCGTGCACATCACGCTTACCTTTGCTTGAGCTTCAAGAGTTCAGTTCGAGCTCTGATCTCAGCTCTAGGCGGTTCAAACGTTTGTCTGAGCCGCGACTTGAAGACTTCTAACAACTCAAACGCATATGGGTCGTGCAACTTGAGCCCCAAAGCCCAAGTCTTGGCGCGTCCTGTCAGATTTGATTGAGCAAATGCAACTTGCATATCCCCGTCGTCAATTCGACGCGCCCTTATGGCGTCGTCAAATTCGACGAACCATCTCAAGAGGGAGTCCTCTTCGACTCTCCTATGCTTGGAGATGTCAATCTTCAAGGTCTCGGGTCGACGCGAGTGCATCGACCCACCAGCAGCAGCCTGCTGCTGTCTCAAAAGTTCAAACTGTTGAGCACCCTGTTCTCTCAACAGCTCTGCTTGTTGAGAACCCTGTTGGTGAAGCAAGGCTACTTTCTCGCGTTCTGCGTCAAGTTCATTTTGAGTGAACTGGGCGATAGTAGCATGTTGGGCATCTCTATTGAGAGCCTCTAGCATGACGCTAACAGCATGGATGCCCATGGTCGAACCCATTCGTTCAACCGCATCCCATTCGACATCGCCCAAATGGGAGTAGCCGTCACGCGAAGCGTGAAAGCTTTGGTCATCTTCATCATCCAACATATTCATGTTGGATGTGAACGCGGTCCTTGGACGGACTACGAAGTGCTACCAGGTGTAACGGGGCACCCTGAAGCTTGTACTGGTGACAGTACAAGCTGCTTATTCTGACAACAGAATAAGGCGGTGCCTCGTAACTTCACGTACACTGGTACGTGCAGAGGAAGACTGTAAGAAGAAGCGAGTACTTGGTTGAAGTAAAAAGTAGAAATGTATTTATCATAGTTAATTTCTGTTAATAAATCATTATTTATATTCATCTAACTATGCCTAAATACAAATTTGTATATCAACTATCTGCTCACCACTCATTGCGTGCGTCTGTCGTGGCGCGTCTTCGTTGATTGATATAATGGCCTAAATCAACCAATTAGGAACTACTCGTAAGTGCTGCAGAATATTTGTCCTTATGACAAAAATTCTGAGAATCTGACTCTTATAGTATAATTCTATTAACAATTTCTTCTAAATTGTTATGTAACGATTCACCCCGTTACATGCTGACGAAAGCATTCGACGCGAAGAAACACAAGGTTCTGCGACGGCTAATGCGACTGGGCTAATTGGACGAGCAGCTCTAGGACAAGAAATTGCTCGTGGCGTATCCGAGGAGGAGTGTAGAAAATGTTGCCAGGGGTGGTAGTGATCGGAGTTTGAGAGGCATGGGATTACGACCAGCGCCAGATTGTGAGGTTTTTGGGCAGCTGCAGATAGTCAGTGCAAGTAGTCAGCGAGAAAATTGGCTGGCAGCTAATCTTTTAGATTGACTGGTTTAGGGGAATAGGTAGCCAGCGGCAGGCGAGGAAGTAGGAAGCGAGGACGAAAACGACAGAATCTTGTCATCCACTTCTTCCTCACGTGCTACCAGTTCATTAGACCACTCAAGGTCACGGACGTAACTTCGCGCAAAATTAGTGCTAAGTACATGCTGCTTCGGGTGTTCCAGAACCATCTGGTGGTCGATTGAAACGTTAACAAAATACCAAGACCATTTCTAAAGTCTTAGTTCTCTTTAGATTTTTTAAAATGATACCGTACGAGCCTTCGATCGAGCACCAAACGGTTTCTGGCATGCCCGAGGCAGCCTGTACTTAGCCAGGTTTTGCGCGCAGTTACGTCCGCGACCTTATGTGATAATTTGCTCTATATCTTGAGGTAAACGAGTCAGTAACCATCGGCTAGTGCGCGTTGTACAGAGCGAATCGATACCAGCCAGTTGTGGCTTCTTGTTGTCATTCTCGTCGCCAACTGCCGGTGTTGTCGTGGTTCCGAACGGTATGTGCCGCTTATATTTACAACCATACAATTACACTATGCTTAGAGTTTTTATGCCAACGTGTACGATTGTACTTGTCGCAGTGGCCAAAGCAGTTATTTGTTTGTGAGGTCCCCAATGGTCTACAGAATCGCGATCGTTAACACACACAGGGTGTTGTCGACCTATAGATGCACCAAAAATCTGAATAGCCCGTATTAACTCGTATGATTGACTAAGCAGAGGATAAAAATATAGGCGTACGATATTAGCTGGCATCGAGTTGACTCCGGTACAATTATCATCATGTCCTCCTGGTTCTCAGATGAAGCGCTGCGGCTTGTAGAGGTTCGCAATCACCGCGAAGTTGCAGCCTTCAGCGCCCTCATCACGTCCCACGATCAGCTGCTGTTCCGAACTTAGACTTCCTCTTCTCTGGGTGCGTCGATCCCTCTCGCCTCGACGCAGGATCAAGCAGACGCAGCCGAGCAGAGATACCTGGCAACTATCCAGCGACTGGAGCGCGAAGTAACGGACAAGAATGCGCAGCTGGAAAGCTACGCGGGTCGCCAGCTGTTGATCGTGAGTGAGAGCAAGACGCTGCTGCAGGGGCGTGATTAGTGGGAGAAGCGAATGCAGCTGACAAAGAGGAAGTTGAAGGACGAGACGCTGTTGAGTTTAGAGAAGGACATGGCGCTCCAGGAGCTGGACGCGGCGCTGTCAATTCTTCGAGAAGAGATCTTGAGACAGAGGAGTCTGTTGGAGAAGAGTGAGATGAAGACCGAGCGACTCAAGAAGCAGAACGCGGAGCTCGAGACGCAGGTGCAGGAGAAGAGCGCTCTGCTTCATGAATGGATTCATACCACGAGTGGACAGAGAGGGGGAGAGGCGCCTTCATCTGCATCAGAAGCTAGGAAAACACAGGAGAGATCCGAGAGAATGACTCAGTTGCTCGATGAAAGTGGAGGCTTGAGTCAAAGCGGTCCGAGAGCCACGTTGATCACTCAAACTACACACTCCGTCCGCGCTCATGCGACGGAAGTGAACTCAGTCTGTTTTAATGCGTCCGGCAATACATTATTTAGTGGCAGCAGTGATGGTACAGTAAAAGCGTGGGAAGCGGAAGCAGGGTCGTCTTCCGCCCCAAGAGCGCTGGGGGAATAAAGAGGCGTTGTAACGGGGCACCCTGAAGCTTGTACTGGTGACAGTACAAGCTACTTATTCTGAAGACAGAATAAGGCGGTGCCTCGGAACTTCACGTACACTCGTACGTGCAGAGGAAGACGGTAAGAAGAAGCGAGTACTTGGTTAAAGTAAAAGTAGAAATGTATTTATCATAGTTAATTTCTGTTAATAAATCATTATTTATCTTCATCTAACTGTGTCTGAATACAAATGTGCACATCAACTATATAATCACCACACGTTGCGTGCGTCTGTCGTGGCGCGTCTTCGTTGATTGATATAATGGCCTAAATCAACCAATTAGGAACTACTCGTAAGTGCTGCAGAATATTTGTTCTTATGACAAAAATTCTGAGAATCTAACTCTTATAGTATAATTCTATTAACAATTTCTTATAAATTGTTATGTAACGATTCACCCCGTTACATCACCCCCCTTAACCATCAGTCACTTTAGTGACTGATTGACTGAATAGATACTTGTCCCAGATCATTTGGGACAGGGTTTGCACTTGTTGGTCCGAGTCCACTTTCCAACAATTCATCGCATGGTTAACAAGCCCATGCGATGCGCGAGCAAGGCCGCCGAGAGCGCGTCCGCACGTCTCTGTGCGGACGCCGAAGCAGAAACCACAGCAACCGATGTATCATCGGTTGCTGAAGTGACTCAGCCTGTGTCACTTGGTGATGCAGGCGCTGGTCATGAAGACACTCGTGTCTTCACAGAGTATGACCTCGGTGTCTCATACTCTCCTTATACGGAAGACGGATCCGAATCGAAGGTGGTAGAAACCAAGCCGCCTTCCAAGCGTGGCATGGATGATGCTACGCGTCGTAGCATCGTTGGTTCGTCTGACGAATCAGATGAACCATCACCGACGCGAAGGCGCTCGAGGTCGCGAGACTCGGGTGCTACAGTGGCGTCGGTTCTCCTATTGACACCACTTCGCTACGAGGTGCCAGTCCTTCTGTCGGCACGTCGCAAGAAGAGCGGGACCGCAGTGTGTTGCGTCTCGATCCCGAGAAGAAGGCATGGATGCCTCCCAAATCCGTCATGGATCACTTGTCGGCGACGACGAGTGATCGTTATCGAACACGGTTGTTCGATTCGTCAAGGATCCATCACCTTGACCCGAGTGCGAAAAACTATCGCGCTGAGAATGAGTTCTTCATCGATACTTTTTTAAACATCGATTGTACAGTGGGAATCACAAACGTGATGGTCCCTCACTGCTTCAAGCGTGGAACGCCTACATCCATAACCTTGAGGATGTAGGTCGTGACGTTTGGAACGACAAACTTATCAAAGCTTGTGATCAGTTTGAGAAAGAACCCCCGACAGGTGCACGCTATAAGCTGCATCGTCTGTCAAGGGAGAAAGGATTACCCTGCCTCTCCTAGGAAGACTCGTGCCCATGTTGTGTGAACAACTCTGCACGAGCACCTAAGGAGGCTTACCTCCTTACTAGCCCGTGGTGGCGCGTACGTATCTCTAGTGAGATGTAAGAAGGGATTGACAACCTGAAATCCCTTTACGACCGTGCCGAGAAGACTTTCTCCAGCGGTTCTTTTGCGGCACAGGATGTGTCGCGTCGTACTGCTCAACCAGACCCAGTACGTCAATCATCAGTTGGGAGCGGGGCTCCCAAGTATCCCAGGACGGGGGATAACCGCGCCACCGGACAAGGTAACTCGTCCGACGTCCGTTCACATCGCAGTAGTTCAACAGCTGCTCAACCAGATAGCGCTGGTCACCGCGAGAGTCCTCCAATGGAGGTGGAGGAGGAGGGAAAACGCTCTCCAAACTATCGTGGGGGAGCGTGTGTCCCCGAGAGCTCTTTGATCGCGTAACTCTTGCGTTACGCGGCGACCTCGAGCATGAGCGGGACAGGCGTCTTCAACTGGCAGACACTGTCTTGAAGCATCGAGCTGAGTTTGCATTTGCTCAGCTTGAGAACGAGAGAGCTCTGACATCTCTTAGTGACGAGCTAAGGGTAGCTCGTGTGGATATCGACCGGTCTCGGGCTGAGATAACTGCTCTTCAGACCCTTGTCGATGCCCACCATCGGGAGCACAAGGCTCTCTGCGAGATGCTTGAGCGCAAGGGCGTTCTTCATCGGAAGAAGCAGCGTTCTGATGGTACGGCTTAAGCCGACCAACGTAAAACGTGGGATGCGTTCGCATCTTACGTGGCAACTCGATCGTGTATGCATTGCCAAGGCGATGCAATACACGAAATGGGCCGATGTACTTGGGTAGTAGTTTACTGCTACCCAAGTTAGTCACTACATTCTTTGGTAGATTAACCGTAGACAGTAGGACTAAGTCACCTTTATTTAATAAAAGAGTGTTTGCCCTTCCATTCTTGTCTGCGTTTTGCTTTTGCTTATCCACCGCTCCGGCGATGGAGTCTTGCACAAAACGGACTACCGTTTCACGAGCCGGTATGAAATCATCTGATGACTCGTTAGCTTCATTGCGCTGTGAGTGCACTGCAGCAACATCAATCTTTTCTTCAGTGAGGGCTTCCTCGCTCTCACTGGCATAATCTTCTCCGATATCGATGTTATCGATATCGGCATCAAACGCAATGACCTCTTCGTCAGAGCGTGATGAGCGTGAACCAAATCGGTTTTTGCTCGCGCGAGTCTCTCCCCTCTTAAACCAGAGTTACACTCTAGTAAGGTGGGTACACGCGGATGGCGTAAGCCGTTCACGTAAAACGGTGTATGTGTCGTGGACGCATGCACCGAGTTGTTGATGGCAAACTCTACCATCGGCAAGATCTCACTCCAACTCTTAAAGGAGTGTACGGATACTCGAAGTATCTCTTCGAGGACACGATTGGCACGTTCCGTCTGACCATCTGACTCTGGATGATCAGATGTCGACATCTTCAAGCGCGTTCCGAGTGATTTGAACACGGAACGCCAGAAATCAGCAGTGAATCGTGGATCTCTGTCTGAGACGAGTTCACGGGGCAACCCATAAAGTCGGAAGATGGTGTCAATAAAGACACAAGCACAGCCACTTGACGTGATTGACTCTGGTACAGCCACAATGTGTACCATTTTGCTGAATCTGTCAACAAATACGAGAATACCCGTATTCTTGCGTGCGTCTTTGGGTAATCCGAAGACAAAATCCATTGAGATGGATTCCCAGCACTCTGCCGGAACTGGTAGAAGCTTTAAAGGTGCACGCAGTGAAGGACTTGACTTCACTCGTTGGCAGACTTCGCATGCGCGAACATACTTTCGAGCAAACTGATACTGGCGGGGCCAGTAAAAGTCTCGACTCACCGTGAGATATGTTTTCTACCGGCCACGATGTCCTCCTATAGGAGCATCGTGATACTGGAACATGATCCGCAAACGCAGATCAGTATCATCTGGAATGACAACACGTGGTGTGTCACCAGAAACGGCTGTATAATACAGTAACCCGTTGCGAGTAGTGTATCGATCTGATGCAGATCGATACGCAGGCGACAATCGTTTCAACGATTCTCGAGATGGATGTGAGAGATGTGTCAACAACTTCACAATCTCACCATCTTGGGCGTACGCCCGCCTCACATCATCATACAACGTTATAGATGGGACTGAGGACGTCATAACCGCAACAGTGGCTGTCTCACTGTTGGGTTTCACGACTGGTTCAAAGTCGGGACGACGTGAGAGTGCATCAGCGACGACATTAAGTCGTCCTGGTTTGTACTCGAACGTAAAGTTGTATTCTGCAAAGAATGACAACCACCGCGCCATTCGTTGTGAAAGGTGCGGGTTGTTCACTGCCGTGCGTAATGACGCATGGTCAGTGTAAACAACGAAGGGTCTATCTCCTAATAGATAGACTCTGAACTTCGCGAGTGCATACTTAATGGCAAGAAGTTCCTTGGCATGCACTGGATAGTTCCGCTCAGCTGGTTGCAGCTGACGCGACTGATAGCAGAAGACGCGTTCTACGACTCCTAGGTCGTGCTGCATTATTGCACAGCCGATTGCGAAATCGCTGGCATCACAGACCACATGAAATGGCCTGTCCTGATCGGCTATTGCTAGGACTGGGGATTGTATCAAGCTCTGCTTGATACCATCAAAGGAGCGCTGACATTCAGCGTTCCATAACCACCTCTCATTCTTTTTCAACAAACGAGAGAGGTGCACAGTCATCTCGGCGTAATTGCGTGAATACTTATGCAAATACGCCGCTAGCCCAAGTAATTTTCGAAGACCTTTGACATCAACCGGCACAGGCCAGTCGGTGATCTCCTTGATCTTTTCGGGATCAGGACGTACACCGTTCTTACCAACGATGCACCCTAGAAGTGGTATTTCGCTTGCTGCAAATACACATTTCTTGAGATTTGCATACAATTGATGCTTTCGCATGATTAAAGAGCTTGTCGGACGTGGTACCTGTTAATCTCAACGTCCGACTTTCCATCCATAGCCCGACTATGAATGAGTACGTCATCAAAATAACTCGGTGCGTATTCTCGCACTGGTCTCAACAGATGTGATACACATCTGTTGAACGTGGCAGTGGCATCACTAAGCCCTTGTGGACTTACTAGCCATTCCCAGAGCATGCCGCTAGGCGTGCTAACTGCGGTATAGGGTATGTCCCGTTCTCGCATAAGGATTTGATAGAAGCCATCCATCAAATCCATGGACGAAAAGATGGTACTCTTTGACATACCATCAATGATTACGTCCTTCCTTGATATCGGCGTCTGAGCCGGTACCGTTGCAGCATTCAACTTGTTAAATGCATGCACAATCCGCCACCCTCCTGTTGCTTTTCGCACACAGAAGGTCGGAGAGCTGTGTGGTGATGTTGATTCCCTCACATGACCAGCCGCTAAGCGATCGGCAAAGAATTTTTCGATCGCTGTGACTTGTTCACGAGGCAGTGACCACTGCTTCATGACACAGTATTTCGAGCCTGGTTTCAGTTCGATCTCATGCCGAGTGCCTTTGTCTTTGGGCAGCTCGCATGGCACGGATTCAGGAAAAACATCCCTGAATTTAACCAAATCCTCATACAAAGTATTTGTCTTCAAAGTCTCTCAAGATTGAGACGTGTATCGCTCAATCCGGGTCTTCTCATCGAGGACACGCTAGTCCATCGATGAGCTACTGAGAACCCGTTCGCTACCAGCACACACTTGTGCCGACCGAATATTGGCAACGCACTCGTCCTCTATGACGAGTACGCAGATCTGCTTGATCTTGTCACTACGCAGATCTCGCGAGAATATTTTAGATTCTAGCGTTGGCAACTTGACTACCTCCAAAGCTGACTTCGGAGGTGTAACCAGATCAAGTGTATAAGCGCCTACACTTGATCCATCATCTACCAAGACATTCACTGTATCGGTGATTTCCTGGTAAAACACATCCGCAGGTAGTTGGGGATCCACACCCTCACCATAACTCCCTCGGGAGTTATCACTCTCAGGAAAGCTGGAAATTTCTTCCATGACGTGTACTGACTGTGAGTGTACTACCACAGTAACGTACTCTTCCATCGACTCTCTTTCAGTCGATCTGGCTTGCTCTATGATCGACTCTCAGTCGATCTTGCTTCAACGTATTGTTCATCCTGAACAATACTGATCTCTCTTCTCGGATGCACCCTTCTTGGTGTGCATCCGTGTTCCGGTCCACTCGATCTCTTCGAGTGGTGAACCTTCGGCGCAGCCTGTGTCTCTGCACAGGTGCCGGAAGCTGGTTCCACAGTGTAGTGGCCTTCTACACTGTGATCTTGTGCATCCATACTAACGACCGTACCACAAGTGAGGCCATCGCACTCACTTGTAGTACATTCACACGCTTGTGGACGCTTCCAAGACGTTCATCAGATGGCTATCTGATGAACAAACGGCAGGCATCTTCACGGATCGATGCTGACAGCTAACCCATGGCTGGAAATTTCTAAGCCATGGCAGACCGAGGATGACATCAAATTTGTCATCCAAGTCTAGTACGATGAAGTCATCATCGTACTGCTTTTCTTCTATCGTGTAGTGGATTCCCACTACACGTTCGTTCACTGTTACGGATGCGCCTGTAGCAAGGCACACCGTCATCCTCGTTGGAGGGAACTTTCGCTCAACATAGTTGAGTTTACTATCCTCTAGTGACTGGCGTCGAATAAAACTGCTCGACGCCCCACAGTCAACTAGGGCGAGCAGTGACATTTACTTGTCACTTCGATCTTCTAAGTGATGAGAGACTACTCATCACTAGGGGCAGTAACACACAGCGACTGTGTGTTGGGCGCAATCTTCGTCAGGAGTCCTGCAAATTATCTTGACGTTGCTGGATCAGCAGGGTGCTCCGCCTATACTGACCCTGTCCGTTTTTTGTCGGTCCGACTTGCTGTCGCGCCTTAGCGACATGGCGGACCCACGGCTTGACCTTTCCTCGGCAAAAGCGGTCATCACGTCCTGTCTTTGAACGTATTACGATGCTTGGGACAGTACACTCTTGAGCGTAGTGCCCAATCTTCTGACAGTGATGGCATCTTGACGCTCGCTTGTGACTCAGATAGCGAGAGTTCTCGCTCTCGATGTAACGGAGGTCCGTTGGTTCGGAACCTCCGGTTTCCTGTCATCTCGTCGGACGATAATTTGACGAGTCAGCCTGAGACTGTCTCAGGCTGTAGTCTTCTTGTTTGGCAAACGCTATCGCCTTTTCTAGCGTACGGAAGTCCTCTCAGAACATGTAGGTCTTTACCGGTCCATCTACAAGGCCGTATTACGGGGTAGCCCGTTTCATGACATTGACACCGAATGGTGTCAATAGGGATCTTGTATAGCATGACAATGTCCTACCAATATTATCCGAGATGGATAATATTGAAGGGACATTATTCCCTTTCGATAAAATTTATGCTTTGCTTAAAGATTGGTTTATGTAAGACATATCAACCATAGATTACCACCAATCGCTTCATGACCCGCGCAATGAGTGGTGAGCAGGTTGTCGTCATACGACGACATCGTTTAATTTAGTTAGATAAAGATTAAAGTTATATTGATAGCTTAACTATATTAAATACGGTTCTCGTTTTACCCTTTACTCAGCTTAGTTGTTGAGTAGATTGGCTTCCTCTGCACGTACTAGTGTACGTGAAGTTTCGTGGCACCCAAACAAAGGGTGCTCCGTTACACCTGGTAGCACTTCGTAGTCCGTCCAACGACTTCTTTTTGTCCGTCCAACATGAACTTGTTGGACGTAGAAGACGACAGCTTTCACTTCTCACGTGAAGGCTACTCCTATCTGAGTGACTCAAAAATGGAGGTAGTCGGCCGCATGAGTGTGCTCATGGGAGAACCCGCCATCAGTGGCATGTTGGAGTCTTTAAACATAGACCAGAAACATGCTGCTATCAACAAGTTCCTACAAGAAGAACTTGCCGTCGAAAGACAGAAGATAGCCTTGCTACAGCAGCAAGGCTCTCATCAGTCGATGAGAGGTCTGACGCACACGCATCGACCCGAAACCTTGAAGATTGATATCTCAAGGTACAAGGGAACCGATGAAGATTTCCTTTTGAGATGGTTTATCGAGCTAGACGATGTCATCAGGGCCCGTCACATCGAGGGTGACGAGATGCAAGTCACCTTCTCCCTGTCAAACTTGACACGTTGAGCAAAGAATTGGGCCTTAGGGCTCAAGCTTCACGAACCAAACGTGTTTAAGTCGTTGAAGATCATGAAGTCTCGGCTCATAGAGACGGTTGAGCCGCCGAGAGCCGAGTTCAGAGCACGCTCTGCACTCTTGGTCTAAAGTAAAGTAAGCGTGATGTGCATGATTACGCACAACACCTACGCTACCCTGCGAGTAGCGTTACGGAAAACCCTGTTGATAAGCACACGATCATTAGCATGTTCATCTACGGTCTGTAATGGGGCACCCTTTGTCTGAGTGCCTCGAAACTTCACCTACACTAGTTCGTGCAGAGGAAGCTAGTCTACTCAACGACCGAGCTGAGTAATGGGTAAAATGAGAACTGCATTTAATATAGTTAAGCAATCAATATAACTTTAATCTTTATCTAACTAAATTAAACTACGTCGTCATATGACGACAACCTGCTCACCACTTATTGCGCAGGTCTTGCAGCGATTGGTGGTAGTCTATGGTTGGTATGTCTTACATAAACCAATCTTTGAGCAGCGCATGAATTTTATCGAAAGGGGATAGTATTCCTTCAATATGGTCCATCTTGGATAATGTTGGTAGGATATTGTCATGCTAGACAATGTTCCTATTGACACCATTTGGTGTCAATTTCATGTAACGAGCTACCCCGTTACATCAACCGACCCCTTAATCATCAATCACCCGTTGATTGAACAGAAATGAGTGGGACAGGGTGTCTACCGTTGGATCACTCCGGGAAAGGGATCACTTATTGGTCGAATTCCATTCATCTGCCAATCCAACGCACGATTTTGAAAACCACGCGAGTTGCTACTGCAGCTGCCTTTCTTGCAGCTGCACGCATGCGTGCAGCCGGAGAGAGTACCTCTCACGCCTCAGCAGCAGGTGATTCGTCGCCTGCTGCTATGAACATTCCACGTGGTGAGTCACCACGTGCGACAGTTACACCCGTTGCGTCTGCAGCAGGTACCGCGAATCGTAATCTAGATGGTCCTTTGATAGATCTCATCTATTCTGGTGAGTCAGATGATGCATCCGACTCGAAGGCGGCACCTCACGCTTCCAGATCACCCGGGGCGGACACTGCAGGAGCCAGGTTGACTATCTCTGGTCAGCGCGGCAGTATCATGTCTGAGATCTTCGGATCGAGTGATTATTCTGATGAGTCTCCGCCTAACGCAAGTCCATCCAACGATATGATGCGTGAAGATAGTGATGATTCACCTATACATCACCACGAGAGTAGCAACTCGAGGGATCGAGGCTACAGGTGTCAGTGCTCATGCTGGCACCAATAAAGAGGCCAGGGACCGAAATATCCTGCGCCACGCTCCCCAAGTGGAGACTCCGTGGATGTCATCATCCAAGGAGCTGGAAGAGTTGGCCAGCACGACTACCGATCGTGATCGAATCCCGTTGTTTAATTGTAGGGAGATTTGCCCACCTAACTCCAGCACGGAAATCATCTGTGCTGAGGAAGAATTCTTCACCGATCCGTTTTTCAAACATCGGTGGTACAGTGGTAGCCGTGTTCAAGACAATAAGGCATTGGTCCAAGGATGGAATGCACTCATCCATGACATCGAGTGCATTAGCCGTCAGGCATGGCTTGGTAAACTTGATGCAGCTTGCATCAGGGTTGAGAAGCGCAACCCAGTCGGGGCGCGATACAAGTTGCATCGGCTGTCAAGAGAGACAGGATTACCCTGTCTTTTGTGGTGAGATTTGTGTCCAGGCTGCCTAAACAACTCGAACCGTGCCCCTAGGGAGGCCTACATTTCTAATGATACCTACTGGAGGGCGTGCATCTCTTCCGAGATGGCCGAAGGTATTGACACTTTTCAATCCTTGTACTCGCGTTCGATGAGGTCATTTTCCGACGGCCCTTCTTCAAGCGCAGCGGGTGGGTCTCGTCGTACTGCTCGACGAGACCCAGGACATCAACAATCAGCTGGGCACGAGGCTTTCAACTGTCCCACGTCGATGGATAGCCATGCCAGCGGACAAGGTAACTCGTCCGGACGCCATTCACATCGCGGTGGTTCAAAATACGCTCCACTAGGAAGCGTTAACTACCGCCTGAGCCCACCAAAGGATGTGGTGGTAGCGGGAACACCTGATCCGGCTCGAGTGTCGGATCAGCTTGATGTTCAGTATTACGGGTCTTGAACAACCCGTACTTAGCTTACACTATTTCTAACGCTTTGAGAAAGCCTCAAAACCCAAGTCTTAGGTGTTTAGTATTTAATTCCTATTTATATATTTTGTCCATTAATTATCCTAAGTACGAATGGTTCCCTTGGACTCATGGCAACCACTCAATCTACGTGCCTACACCTTACTGGCTAATGTAGGGACTGAGCTCATTAAACAGCTAAAATGTACGACGTGCTACTTTCGCTACCTCGAGAGTAGCACCCCTACTTAAGTTACATGTAAACTTAATCGAAACTACTTAGGTAACGGGGTGGCCCATTACATCACCCCCTTCTCAAGACAGCACTCACGAACCGTGAGTGCTCAACCACAAGAACCACGATACGCACAAGCCAAACGATGACTAAAGACGCAGACGCCAACACCACAGCACTCCCGCCAACTTTCAGCGGGAGTTCGATAGGCTACGTGATGGATCAGCACCTAATCCCTTGGGCGCTAAACGACTTGTCCGGAGCTCGAGCTCCGGAATCTTTATAAAAAATACAGGATTACTTTCGGTGTTTCCGTGGATTACGTGCGGAGAGTCTTGATGGTATCTTGTACGAGTCGCTCCAGCGTTCTTGGTCCGCGTTCAGTCGGCAATGGAACTGGATGCTTGAAGACGGAAGGAACTCTCAGCAGTGGCTAGCCAATCGAGATGATATTCACGCCGACCACTCAATCAGTGTGCTGAACGAGAAGGCATGCGAGAATGCGTGGAGAGCTGGCCGACTCTGCTATGTTCACGTGCACAAATTTTGTTAATCCTGTGACTCGGTGCCTCGTCCAACCCGCTAGACTTGGCAACGACACGTCGTTGAGTATCCACTCATCGGATATTAACAGCTCTGATACCTACGGTATGGGCGCAGCTTGATATAGCGTAAGATCACGATTAATCGTGGTGCTTTAAGATGTTGACACCATCAGCGTTCTCGGGGACGCGGTGCCACACGCTCGCCACGACGTTCTCGTTCGCGTGGTCGTGGTGATACACGTTCACCACGACGTTCTCGTTCGCGTGGTCGTGGTGATACACGTTCACCACAACGTTCTCGTTCGCTTGGTCGTGGTGATACACGTTCACCACGACGTTCTCGTTCGCGTGGTCGTGGTGATACACGTTCACCACAACGTTCTCGTTCGCTTGGTCGTGGTGATACACGTTCACCACGACGTTCTCGTTCGCGTGGTCGTGGTGATACACGTTCACCACAACGTTCTCGTCGTCGCTCTATATCTCCTCTTCGTGGTGACTTTTCCCAAGACGTTCTTGCAATCGCTTTTGATCTCGTAGTGTGGTGACGGTCCACCACGACACCGTCGACGTCTTTCTCGTTCTCGCTCACCGCGAGAACACTCCGGTAGTCGAACCAAATTTGAATCAAGCGTATGCACGGATGCGTATGCCCAAACGACGTCTGGAACGTCTCGAAGAAGCGAAGAGCGCGGTCCCCAAGTATCCTGCTCGGGTGAATACCCGAGCCAACGTACAAGATACTTGCGCGCGCATGGAGTCGCGACGATGTCGTTTCGCGACGAGGGTTCTCGTGACCCAATATAAATTTCACAATCCAGCGCTTCTGACATTCCGCGTCCACAAGCGGTGGTGAGTCTTTGCGATGGTTATGCTGGCGTCACGGTTGCCCAGGACGATGTAGATGCAGCAGTGAAGAAGGCTGTAGATGCCGAGCTGGAAGCTGAATCTGCCCTTGATCGAGCTGCGCGGGCTGAGAGAACAGCGAGCGAGATCGACGGTCGAACCGCGAGCTGCTTGAGCGGATGCGGAACTTGGGGCGCCAGGTTCTTGGGCACGCGCAGACTAAGAAGCAGCCGCGTTTGATCTCGCTTGCGCATCGAGCAAGGCGAGACGGAAGGTCGACCTATGAGCCTTTGTCTTTGAGGACGGAGCCAACCCGTGAAGAGTAGCTGGATGATAATCCTTTCAACACCCGACGTAAAACGTCGGTTAACGTCGCATTGACGAAGAAATATCCAGTGTGTAAGCGTCGCCGATCACCTTAGGTATCGTAAATGGGCTAATGAAATGTGGCGCGAGTTTGCTCGAGCAGAGATTGGTTAATGCTGAATATCATAGGCCATCTGTAGATAAATATACACGTTTACCCTATTTAAAAGTACTCATGTTCTTTCTGCCACATTTGTCTGCATTTTCTTACGTTTATTCACAGCAGATCTAAGAGTATCGCATACAAACCTCGTGATGGCTTGACGTTGGAGTATAAACAGTGACATAGCCATGTCATCAATTTGTCGCGCCGATTCAATCGGCGCGTAGTTGGCTTGAGGTCTTCGCATACCCGAAGAAGGGTCAATCAGTATCTGTGAAGCCCATTGAGATAGCGGAGACGCCACCTTACGTAGTGTCCGGACAGAAGGCTTCACCTTGGATTGGGTGAAAACAATAATCGCGCTCAGAATACCGTGAGCTGCACTCGATCGATGTTTATCACAATCACCCCCGCCAGAGCAGAGCCACGAAGAAACGTAAGTTGACCCACGACAAGAAAAGTAGGTACACGTGGATGACGGGCCGAATTTGCAAAAAAATGGCGTCGATTCCTTTGACGCGTGAACCGCGTTGCTAAGTGCAAACTCTGCGAGTGGTAAAAATGCACTCCAACTCGTAATGGAAGTTGCGTATCTTCGAAGAAAATCTTCTAGGAACCAATTAATCCGCTTTGTTTGCCCATCCGTTTCCGGATGGGCTGCTGTCGACCTTTGCAGCTTCGTGCCAAGCAACTCAAACAGTGACGTCCAAATCGCGGATTTGAAACGAGGATCACGGTCCGAGACAATAATGTCTGGTAGACACTGATGGCAAAACACAGTGTCAATGCACTGCACCGCGGTATCGGCCGCGGTGTTCGTTGCATGAACAGGCACCAGACGTGTGATTTTGCTGAATCTATCCACAAAGACAAAATATTCGTTCGATCTTGGCCATCGGGTGCAAGCCCGAAGTTAAAGTCCATTGAAAATGAGCGTTAAGCCTTAGCTGCAATTGGCAGGATTGCAGAGTTGCCTGCGAAGATGGATATAGCTTCACTCGTTGACATATTTCGCAGGAGCGAACCCAGTTGCGAACCCACTTGTACATGTGGGGCCAGAAGAAGTCACGTGAGGTAGCCTCAAATGTCTTTTCTCGGCCCAGATGATCGCCAACTGGGGCATCATAGTGCTCGTGGAAGATACGAGCATGCAGATCCAAGTCATCCGCAGTCACCGTTTAAGGTGCATCATATTTATCGATGCTGTAAAATAGCAAAATACCATTCATGCTGTATCGTCGAATGTGTTCACGCTTCGTTCGCGAAAGAGCTCCAGTGCAGCATCACTGGGAGCGCGCAGATAGATCATTATGTCCGCGTAAACTGGATCGTTTGCGTAAGCCGCGACAATTTCATCGAAAAGGCGTAACTCGGGTGTGACCTGAGTTAGATTTAACGACACACAAGTCACACATCGATCGTCTTCATCGTCGTCGTCAATTGCCTGACGACTCAGTGCCATACGAGGATCGTAATCTGGACGTTGCCACAGTGCGTCAGCAAGAATGTAAGTCTTGCCTGGCTTGTAGTGCACCACGAAGTTGATCTCGGAGAAGAAAGAGAGCCACTGTGCCATCCGCAGTGACAGGTGTGGGCTCTTCATCGCCGTACGCAGCGATGCATGATCAGTATACCGGGCGAACAGGCGTTCGCCTAGTAGGTGGACACGAAACTTGATAATTGCGTACCGCATACCTTATAGCTCCTTTTCGTGGACTGGATAGTTCTTCTCCGCCGGCTTCATCTGTCGTGATTGGTAACTGACGACTCTTTCACGACCTTCATGATCAAACTGCATGAGGGCGCAACCAATTGCAAGGTCACTTGCATCGCACACCACGTGAAAAGGTTTGGTGGCGTCAGGAGTACCATAAAAGCCGCTTGATGTTCAGGACGCCACGATTACGTGGCGCCTCTCTTCAGAAGTGACGACAGACGCTGTATAGAACCGGCGTAAACTTTGTGTACTTATGCAAGTAATTAGCTAGACTGAGCCATTGACGTAACTCCGTAGAATTCTTGAATGTGGGTCAAGAACAGATGGACGACACCTTCTCCGGATCAGCTCAAAATCTCGATTTACTCACGTAGCAACCCAGTACCGGGTCTCCGGTTCACAGAATCCACACATTTTCAACTTTGCATATAACTTGTTATCCCGCCTGACTTGAAACACCTGCTTCAGGTGTTAAAGGTGAACTTTTAGGGTGCTGAGTTTACCCTCAGCGCGACTGTGGATAATAATGTCATCAAAGTAGCTAGGATCAAATTCTCGAAGCGGTCACAACACTTGAGACACCATGCGTTTGAAAGTTGCTGGAGCGTTCTCTAATCCTTGTGGCTTTACCAGCCACTCTCATAGCATACCACTCGGGGTACTCACCGAAGTGAGCCGTAATTCACTATGTCGCATCACAATCTGGTAGAAGCCATCGGTCAAATCGATGCGCTGAAGATGACGCCTACTGACATGGAGTTAAAAACCATGTCTTTTCTGGGGATAGGCGTTTGGACATGATTTGTGGCAGCACTAAGCTTGTTAAACGCATGCACTCTACGCCATCCTCCTGTAGCCTTCTTCACGCAGAAGTTTGGACTCGAATGGGGCGTAACACTCTCACGCACATGACCGGCCTTGCAACGACCTTCAAAGAATGCATCAATAGCCTCGAATTAGTCTTAAGGCAACGGCCACTACCAAGTCACACAATATTTCGATCCTGGCACGAGATCAAACTCGTGCCGAACACCACGATCAGCATGAAGTTCAGCCGGAATCTTCTCCGGGAATGCGTCTGCGTACTCTCGAGTAATTTGGTAGACACGGTTATTAGACTCGCGCAGAGCCTCCCATGAGTGCAGTACAAATCTTTCTTCGCGCGCTGACTATTGTTCAACGCTTCGAAAGCGCGTCATTTGCTCCTCATTCGTCTCAAAGGTCACCTCGATGGTGACTAGACATACTCGTTCCACCGTGCCTCCCTTGAGGTCGCGTAGACATTGCTTCCAGTAGAGTACTGGAAGGCTCGTAATCGACGACGCGTCGCGAGGTGGACTCGCGACCTCAAAGTATTGGCACCTTTGTGAACTTCCGTCCACGTGCACAAAAGCGTGGACACATTACAACGCTGAGTTCACGTAGCTTGCGTCCCCCTCATGCTTCGAATCCATGCTCGAAGCTGGCGAACCGCAGTTAGGTGTTTAATCTGCAACCCCACCTCAAGACGCTGGATGTCCTCATCCAGGACGTCAAATCGCGCGACGAGAGTAGCCCATACTCGTTTGTCGACACATGATGCGGGAGCCCCTGCTCTACCGCCACAAACTCGTGTGGGAGCCCCTGCTCGACCACGTCTTGCTCATGTGGGAAACTCTGTTCGACCACAGTAGGCGACGATGGGAACCCCTGTTCGAACATCATGTTCGCACGTGGGGACTCTTGTCCATCCACGTCACACTCGGTGGCGAGCCCCTGCTCGGCCACATCTTGCCCTTGTAGGAGCCTCTGCTCGACCACAATGGGTGCAGGTGGAAACACTTGTTCGTGTTCGACCACTGCTCTCTCGTGCGGGAACCGCTGTTCGACCGCGTCGACGTCGCGCGGGAGCCACTGCATGTCCGCGTCAGACTCCTATCTGCAAAGCGAGGAGACATCATCACTCGTGCGTAGGGGCACGGAACAAGCGGTACAGAGAGGGCCATCGCTCACTCTGTGTACCGCCGGTGTCACGGATGTACGATCCACGACTATAAGATTCGGCCAATCACTTGGGGACACCAAGAGATGGGTGAACACTTCGCTGACGTCAAACTCACTCCGAAGTCTTACTGATGTGGCTAGCCAGTCGATCTGGGGCTTATTGAGTGCCAACCATGGCATGCCCAGGCTGCAATCAAATGCAAAATTCATCTCAATCACTAAAAAATTGTCGTTACTGCAAAAGCCGTCACACTTGTACGGCAACGACACTCCGTGCCGCGCTACGCAGCGTGGTTTCCCGTCAGCCAGATTGACAACAACTTGACCAGGTACCTCGTGGACCTGGTTGCTGAGTGGCAGCATTGAAACTCTAGATTCACGGAAGAAATTGTTTGTCGCTATTGAATCCATGAGCGCTCATGGAGGCCTCCGGATACCGGCGAGATGCAGATTAACAACAATCTGGCTTGAATCACTTAACGTAGTGGTGGCATTTGACCGTGCACGTAGCACGGATAGGCTATGAGGTCGGGCTGCCACCGGTGGACCCAAACCTCCTTTAAAAAGAGTAGGGCGCCCTGTACCTGCTGGTCTCAACCGTTATTTTGGACAAGTGAACGGAGCTCCCTCTCTCATGATGGGTGTCCGTCGCATGCACCAACATGGATGCTGGCCCGCGGCATTCAGCCGCGCGATGTCCCGGCTTTGGACATCGAAAGCATATCATCGGACGTCCGCTACGGACGTCGCCCTTGTAGGACGTAACACATCATCGGTCACCCGACGACTCAATCGCATCAATCTCCATAGGTTCCGGGCCCGCTGATCTGACAGCGGTAACAACTGAAGGCTTAGTATAGGCCTTGGTGGATCTAAAGACATCACGGGAGGCGATAGCGAAAGCCTCCTTCAACGTGGCAGGCTCCGCGCGCTACAGCAATAGGCGAGCCTGCCCTTCACGCATGCCATCGACATACACGTTCACTTGTGTGTACATATCCATGGAGTTTGTAACAATGCACGAGGCGAGATGTCGAGCAATCTGCGCGTAGTCGCGCATGGACATCTTGCTCTGTCTCAAGAACCGGAATCTCAATCACACCAGCTTCTCTTCTTGTGGCGGCTCGAAGGCAAGTCAAGGTCACTCTGGGTGGTTTTTAGAGTGGGAAACGCATACTCGTCCCCTACGAGATTACCCAAAGCCCACTCCTTGGCTTTACCACTAAGAAGAAAAAGGAAAAAGTTAACCTTTGCTTGAGGAGCTTCGAGAAGTCTCGAGTTGATAGCGATGTCAACCTCTCGGAACCAACGCGACAGCGACAAGCGTTCTTTGTCTTCTTCAGAGTCGAGGGAGGTCTCCATCTTCACGGCCGAGTTCCGTGAAGTTCGCAAGGGAGTTAAACCTCGCCGATCTGATTCGGCGATCTCGCGGGCCATGAAGTCGAGTATGGCGAGACGCTGTCCATCAGGAGAAACTGATTTTATCATCGACACAACGAATGTCTCTTCAGATGTAGTCGCTAGGCCATTTAGGGCATCCCACTAAACACCAGTGAGATGGGGATAAGTCACGTGCTCCAGACTCACGTCTGAAGCGTCAAAGTACGACGAATCGCTCATCCCGAACTCGGGTATAAGAAGGACTTCTAAGTGCTTCTAGGTGTAACGGGGCTAGAACAGCCCGTACTTAGCTTACACTATTTCTAACGCTTTGAGAAAGCCTCAAAGCCCAAGTCTTAGGTGTTTAGTATTTAATTCCTATTTATATATTTTGTCCATTAATTATCCTAAGTACGAATGGTTCCCTTGGACTCATGGCAACCACTCAATCTACGTGCCTACACCTTACTGGCTAATGTTGGGACTGAGCTCATTAAACAGCTAAAATGTACGACGTGCTACTTTCGCTACCTCGAGAGTAGCACCCCTACTTAAGTAACATGTTTACTTTATCGAAACTACTTAGGTAACGGGGTGGCCCATTACATTCAATACCTGAACCGAACCGTGTAACGGAACAGTTGCAAGATGACCTGGCGTATGAACGGACTCGGCGTTATGAGCTCTATGACCTTGTAAAGGATTTTACAATTCCTCGACGCACGATAGATCGGACGATCTAGCTGCGTTTGCGTACGCACAACTTGAGAACGAATGTTCGACTCGGTCTCTTCGTGACGAGCTGGCTGTAGCTCGTCAAAACACCGCTCACCTGCGTGAACAGTTTGCTTCTCTAGTCGACCATACTGTCTCGTTGAAACGGGACCACTCGAGGATGATCTCGGCTTTCGACCGCGGAGGTGTTCTTTGCGTCTCGAAACGAACTCGTACTGATAGTACGGGCGGAGACGTCCAACGTAAAACGTAGGATGTGCACGCATCTTACGTGGCAGTTCAATCGTGTATGCGTTGCCCATTCAGCGCAGCGTACGAAATGGACCAATATACTTGGGCAGTAGTTTGCTGCTGCCCACGTTTGTCACTGCGTGTTTTGGTAGATCTACTGTAGACAGTAAAACTAAATCTCCCTCATCAAATGAAAGAACATTTGCTCTGCCATGTTTATCTTTATGTCTTTTATGTTTATCTCTGGAGTCTACAATAGAATCTTGAGCGAAGCGGACAACCGCTTCGCGAGTCAGCAGAAATTCCTCTGCTGATTCATCCTTGTCAACAGCAGTGCGCTCCGTGTGCACTGCTGAAAGAACATTGTCTTCACCAGTGAGGGCGTCGTCATCCTCACTTTGGCAGTCATTGGCGATGCTGTATAGACCAGCGTCTTCGTCATCACTATCATCGATATCTATCGCATCGACATTAGCATCTGTCACGCCGACATCATCGTCGACAGGTGATGATGAGTAAGAACCAGATCGGTTTTTGCTCGAGCGATCCCCCCCTTAAACTAGAGTCACGATCTAATAAGGCGGGTAAACGTGGATGGCGTAGGCCATTCACGAAGAACAGTGTATGCGTTGTCGACGCGTGCACCGAGTTGTTGATGGCGAATTCCGCCATCGGCAAGAACTCACTCTAACTCGTAAACGAGTGGATGTGGTGAAGTCGATCTCACAAAATTGCTTGTATGAGTGTCGATCTTCCACTTGCCCAGACTTGCCGACTCACGGAGGTGGTCCTCCGATCCGTGCCTTGTCGTATGACCTTGTGCTCACCTTGTGTACCCGTCGGTTGGGCTGGCTTGAGCTCTTCGTAACGTCCTTGGGAGATGTCGATCTCGCTGAGAGGTCGGGTTGAGGGTTCGCTTCCGGTGCGGAAATCTTCACACCACGAACGGGGGTTCTGCGATCCCGATCTTGGATCGCACCGATCTTGATGTGTCTTTGAGATCGGGGTCTTTGCTGTGCGGAAATCTTCACTCAGCAAATAAAAGTCGTGCGTCGATCTTGCCTTGGGATCGGTCCGATCTGGTCTTGGGATCGGTCCGATCTGGTCTTGGGATCGGCCGATCTTGCCGGAAGTGCGCAATTTGGGTAGATCGGTGTCTTGTTTCGCCAAAATGAAACGTGCCGATCTGTCCAGGGGATCGCTTCGATCCTGCTCGGTCTTGTCTTGAACGCCTTGTCCAGATCTTCTGACCACTTGAGCCGTCTCGCGATCCTGTGTCCAAAATCATTTTCCTTTTCCGTTGTGTGCTGCTACCCTAGCAGTTGAGTTGAGTGTGAGTACTTGATCGATCCGGGCCAGATATCCCGGGATCGCTCTTCTCGATCTTGGCCAACAATCCAAGATCGGTCTTCTGTGTCCCTGTAACACGCGTGCCTTAACCCGCCGGGGAGGCCAAATCAATCTTGCCTGGAGAAGAAGGGAGGATAACGTGCGTCGTGAGCAGAAGAAGTAGAGTTCAAGTCTGTTTATTAACCAACCAAATTACCATCCAACCTACCCTTAAGCCTATTCTTAACTATAGGTCACTCTTCAAACCGATATCGCCTTGAATCTGGTTCGCCCCCTTGCCACGTGTCGAAATTTCGTGCCCTGTACTCCAATGATAGCGCCAATATCCCCGATATCGTACCTAGAGCACCAAATGGACCAAAATCTCCTATATGGTACCAAATACCCATTCTTGGCACCCAAGTACCCAATATATGACCCAAAATGCCGAATGTGTCCAAATTCACTTTGCGCCGTTAATTCGGACAGCTTCCACTGGCTCTTTCGGCTTGAAACTTCTTGACATCACTTAGTGACCTCTATCAAGTATATTCCACACGATCCAGTATCTTCATCAACCATATATTCATGATTAGTGTGGAACATGACCGATCTGTCATCCAATATCGAGATGTTGCACCTTCTTTGCCGATTCACCGACCCGTACCACCTGGTCCCAGATGCACTTTGGGGAGTCACCTTGTCCCAGATGTGTCAATTCTCCAACAAACCGTTGCCACAACATGTCGATCTGCGATCTGATCTTAGCCTGCTTCAATGTACGTATACTTCTTCTTGACCGGCATTCCAATGAGCTGTATGACTTCATCCCGATGTCTGGTTCCAGATCGCCCCATAACATTCTGCAAGATGTTACACCTTCGTCGCAGAGTCATATCCCATCACCCGGTCCCAGATCCTTGTCCCAGATTGTTCCATGTAAATCGTTCCAGATCGCTCCGTCCCAGGTCGATCCATACCCATTAGTCTAACGACAGTTGGATCGGTTCGCCGATCCCATTAAGATCATCTTCCACCTCCGTATTGGATCGCCGAGTCTCATGGCCTCCTTTTCCACCAGTAAGCGGCGCTTTCAAGGTGTGGCCACCGATCCTCGTACAAAATTTGAGTAGTGACTT